TATTTTGCAAATAAAATAGTAGCACAATATTCTCAAGTCGGTTCATACCTTCAATGATCGTTTTTACTGCATGTTTCCAGGATTTTACACTCGAGTGTTCCTTTCGATAGGTATTCTAATTGTGTACCCTATTCAAGAAGAATTTGTTTTTTTTTTCGTTATATCATTCTCCATGAGTCGATAAAGCTCAAAAAAACGACGCCTTCCGTAAGTACTTGGACTTCTTGAAGTAATTGAAATGAGTTTTGTGAATTTTTTCTTGAACAGAATTTACTCAATTGCCTCCTTTGCTGTTATTCTTACATATATGTGACTACTTCTTACATGAAAATATATGATCATAAAATAATATATGGTTGGACATCGTTTGCGAAAGAATTAATTCATTTTTCACTTCTGTCCATAAGGTGCACTTGTCTTACAAGTATTGAACTTGTATATCATATTATATATATAATTTCAGAAAATTACAAGCACTTTGTGTGATATTTTCATATTATAGAGTTCTATGGATTCAAATGCTTTCCAGACCAAAAAGTTGATACCCATTATCATTATACTAATGGTCATTAAGAACTTGATTATAACAAATCTTTCTGCCTTCCTGATGAACAGTTCCACAAACTATTAAAGAAATATTCCCCTTCGGTAAGCAAAAACTGTGCCGTCATAGAAAAAATACTAAATTATATGTGTTTCCCGTAAGTTTCCATATGCTTTCAAATTATGAATATTGAAGTAATAATCAATTACTCTGCATGGATTCGTTTGTACCAGTAAGCAAAAATAACTGCATTAATCAGTTCTTTGTTTCTGGTTTATAAATTAATTTTTTTTTTACTTAGAAAAATAAAATTCAGACTCAAAAAATTCGACTAGTCAGTTTGCTTGAGATGTTCTAAGATAAAACAAAATATATAACATCTCGTAGATCAAATTATTTAAAAAGCTTTTTGCTTCGTAAATTCAAAGATATGGAACGATACGCACATATTTAATAGTACAAAATTCCTTTCAATCTTCCTTGAAGCATATAATATATATTATATTAGAGTTTAATATATGTTATCAAAAGTAACGGTTAGGATAAGTTATTATTTATTTAACGTCGATCTATCTGCAAGCTCCTATATAATAGTTGAATAGTTCTGATGTGGTTGCATGAACGTCTGGCTATGGTGAAGTGTAGAAACCTTAATGGCAGCTTATTGGGAGTCCACGTGATTAAGTGGAAGATCGATCACAATAATGTATTTTATAGCAATTTTCAATTGTGTAGTAGTTATGACTCCTGTTATCAGAATAGCCGCTTAACAATAGATTGCTATACATGGTTTAAGTGTAAATTTGAACGTGTATATTTAACAAGCGAAATATATAATAATAAAATCTATAATTTAATAAAGGCGTTAATGGAAGTTAAACAGCTCCACTGATATAATCAATTGGCTCAAACAGAAATCCTGAAATACAAATTATTATCCCACTTAGTCGCTGACCGAACATGTATACTTTAATAAGTACCTGTACCACACCGTATGGGAAAGGCGGAGCTACTAACATAAGTGGCTCTTATGATAATGGAGTGGACTATAATGATGCAGAGTACACCCTTCTTTTTCTGTAATGGGTGGCTCACACCCAATCCAGATACAAGTCCAGACCGAAGACGGATACAAGTTCGTATTGCATCAAAAAAACCCTGAAAATTGATCAAACCGATGAAATAAGAACTAAAAACGAAAAGCAGAAACTAGGCTAATAAATAGTACAGACAACAATAAATGCGTTGTTTAGAATGTCTACATAAAAGAGATTCTCCCTGAAGTAATGTCAAAGCGATTCCTGGGAAAAGGGGGAACAAGTCACTGCGAAAAGCGGTAAGGAGGTCAGGCACGCCATTCCAACGACAGTCGGTTTGACAGTGTATAAAGCATTCCACTTCCGACCACATTAAAACAAGAAAAATAGTAAAAAAAATATTATAATAACTATGATCACGATTATAGATAAATAAAATATTTATATATTATTGAAAATATAAATTAATAAAGTTGAATTTGAAATATTAACAAATAATTGTACATATATAATTATTTTGCATTATTATAT